CAATCAGTAAAGTTTTATGGGAGATCTAAATCTCAGTCCTGTAAAAGAAACTGCAGAAGCCAGTTGTGATTCTACAATCCATTTGGTTGCAGGATGTCCAACCATACGTGTCCCTGGCCTCCAGTGTGTCCCCTCACCACAGCAAGCTTGAGTAGTCCTGCAGTGGCAGCCACCATCCTTGGTGGCTGCCTGAGAACAGTCTGGGAAGACCCCTCCAAGATGTGTTTCATCTCCCAGGTTTTCTTTTGTTTGCTGGTTTGTTTTACAGGAAGGGTAGTTCTTCATGTGGAATTTTGTCTGGACTCAGTTCACGAGAAATGCATCTCTTCTGGGAAGTTTTAGCCAAGCACTAGGCATCTTACAGACAATTCACAGGAAACTGCTCAGCAGAATTTTTCATATGGCTTTTCCTTGGCTCTGCTTTTCTTTGCAGAGGCACCTCCAATATCATTGCCCACTGTTACGAGAATTTGAAGTGATTGAAAAGAAGCTCTATTTCCTGTGAACAATTTGTCCTTGCTCAATCCTGATTGTCACTTGCCTAGAACTTACTTAATTTCACATCTCAGCAAATACAGTATTATTTCCCCACCATAGTTGGTTTTTGATCACATCACTCTTCTTGTTACTGATCATACATATCTGTAATTGAATTACCTGTTACAGTAATGTCATCTACTCTCAAATGTACATAAAAATGCAGCATAAAATAAAATTGTTCCAGCGTATACTTCCCCATCATTCTCCATGAACTCTAGGCTAGCCAATTCCACAGAGATACAATGACAGATAATAAATGAAAGATGAGAAGATGAAAGATTAGTGGGTTCATGGCCTTCCAGAAATAAAAGAAATTCACTCACTTTAAAAAAAAATGTATTCTCTTGAAACATATTGTTTTTCAATATTATTCAGGAAAACAATTTTAGTATATGAGTTGAAAAAGAATGAAGAATGAAATGATTTTTTTCCAAATGCAACAGTACTTTGCTGGTATATTTTAAAACTTAGAAAAAGGAAATAAACACTCATCTTTGCTCTCGTCAAATAACCATTAATCTTGGACAAAAAAAGAAAGGGTTTTAGAAAAATACAACAGCAACTCTTTTGAGAAAATGTTCTGTTTTCTGGAGTCCACTGTTGGGTTAATCCTGTTTTAAATGTCATGCCCCAGGTGAAATATAACTTCTCTTTGAAGTTGCCTGGCTTCAAAATATTCTGTGACAATCAGAGCCAGGTTTCCTTTGCTCTAGAACCGTCATATGACAAAGAGAAATGGTGTTAATGCCAGTACATTATAATAGATCACTTATATATGCTGCCTTCCCTTGGATCAAGTTTTCATTTGCTTTGTTATGATTGGCTTAAATTCTGAATCAAAACAAGTCTTGGGTAGGCTCATTGAAAGTGAAAATCTTATCTACATATATTCAAATATGTTTTAATGTTTTTCTCCTTCCCTTGCTGTTAGAAATTGATTTTATATATCAGATAACCAGGACCTGACAAATTCATCAAGGAAATGACTGACATATTTATCAAGCATGCCAAAAGCTGCTTCTTCAACCTACTTGCCAATGAGCTACACCTCACCTGTGAATTTATCTTTAGGATGCAGCCAACTTGTACAAGAATTAGAGACAGCAGATTGCTCCCTTCTATGACAGATCATTTCTACAAGGCAGCAGGCAGAGTGATAAAAACCAATGATTTTCAAGAAAACTTCTGCATCTCAATTTTAAAAGGTTGCTGGGAACATATGTGAAAATGTCTATATTGTCAACGAGAGTACATAAAGGTAACATAAACAACTTAAAACATATATACATCTTAGGACTCAAGAAAACGGTTCACTTTCTCTGTCTAAATTCGCACAAAGATGCAGGTAGGCAGAAACGTACACGGTCCCACTTAACACACTTGCACACTGGTATAGCTCAATTTGTTAGACACTGTAATTTACATTTTTTAATTATTTAACCCTAAACATAAAAATTTGTCACCTTGGTTTATAATTATACCCTAAGCACTTTGTCGAATAACAAGAGCAACAATTCCAGAAGTATTTTTAAACACAAATTTGGTATAATTGTATAATCGAGGATTATGGAGAATTTACCACAGGGTGTGGGGTCGCTTTTCTCCGACACTCTACACATGCTACTAGGGAACTGGATTCCCTAACTGGGACATATTATAAACTGATTGATTTGGTCTATCCTGCAAACCATATGATTAGTAATCCAAACCTCTTCTTAAGGATTAGTTTCTAATCTTAGTTAACTCTAGAGTTCATGATTGCTTGTGTATGTGATGGAATGGCTTTATATCTTTGGCTGGACATTTATGAGTATCAGAAGCAAAGCCTCAATTTCAATAACTTTACAACTAAAAAAAATGGAATCATTAAAAATAATCACCAAGTTAATGAAAAACTGCTTAATGGTTCAGTTAAGCAGCTCTCTCTAATATCAAGAACATCTGACATAATCCCAAGGAGCTGGCATCTGTTATTTTGAGCAATTAGCATACAACAGAGAAAAGTTTCTTGGTTTTAACATTTGTCCCTGATCAAGAGCCTAAAGTGACTGTGAAGCAAGATTTCTTACCACAAAGCCATGGATGGGGCTCCAGAAGGACTGTGAACTCTCTAAAACTTAAGCCAAAGTCTACGTGAATAAGTACATATTCCTTAGGGTCCCATAGCCACCACACTATAAGTTCCTATGTTTCATTCCATCCAGAAATGGTGAAGAAATAATTTTAAAAGAAAAGAGCAGTGAAGAACATAGACTTGTTATTAGCAAATTCTGAACATCTCAAAAAACGTCTTTTGGACAGAGACAAGCTTGACCACCCAGGAGACCAAAGTCTGTGCTCGCAGCAGGGATCTCGCAGCTGTTTGCTATTAAAACCATCAAATAAGTCAGTACAATTTGTAAATGGCATAAAATGATCAGCATCATCCATCCTCTCCCTGTTAGAAAAGTGCATGCAGGCTAAAAGCATGTAAAAGCAGGTACTAGCCCATCACCCCATGGTTCCATCCACCAGTATGGTGCAATACCCAGGAGCAGCTGCTGTTTTGTGGCAAAGTTTTATGAGAGAAATTCAAGCAAAATGAAACCTGTGTTTCCAGTGACCCAAACAGTTACATTATGGACTGCTTTTTCATTAAAAACAAACGGATAAAAAATCTTTGGAGGTAAAAAAAAAAAATCCATGTTTCCTCTGGGGTAAACAAAATCATCAACCATAAAAGTTATTTAAGTGATACACAACTTTAAGTGATACAACTTAACCTATTATCTGCTTGAACTGAAATTGTGACCTGGTCACTCAAAATAGTGCATAATAAATATTACCCTCTATTCAGTAATGAAACTGGCATTAGTTAGCAATTCATTTAGCAATGCTAATTAGGTGTTAAAAATCTTACCTAGTACAGCCTGTTTTTGTCTTTCTGTGCCTCCTTAGGAGAGACTGACTATAATTGATAACATATCTGCTGCGCCCAAACTTGGTCATGATAACAGAGCTCTTCGGGAGACGCTAACGGTGATATACGATTGTTTTCCTTAAAAACAAACTGCAACTATCATTTGTAACTCCTGGCATTTTAATTAATGTTCTCCTGAGAAGCAGAACTTTATGTCAGTATTAAACATAAATCATATTACCTTCACTCAATTTCGATTTTTTTCCTGAGTAAAGACAATCGTCACTGGGAGGAAGACAGATGTACAGACAGAAGAGTTTGCAGTAGTACGTTTGTCTCTGGAAGGAACCTTTCTATTTAAAGGACTTGTGTTTGGCAACCACCTTTCCTGTCCCTTCTTCTAGCAACGCTGACAGCTCCCTCTGGTCAACAGATCAGCTGCCGCCACCTTCCACCCCTCTGAAATTATTGCAAGATCTGCCTAGTCCTGCTATTTGCTCTCTGGGACCCCCACCCACTCACCCAGAACCTAGTCGCTGCTCTCAGCATCTTCTCTAGCTCTTCCAGCGCTCGCTCTCAGCGCCCCCTTCCGGGGATGCCCGGGACGCCACAGGCGCAGGAAAGTTAAATCCCAACTCTGAGCAGCCGCATCCAGGTACAAAGCAAGGAAAGGGCGAGGAGGTAAACGCTCTTCCCGCCAAAGCCCCGGGAATCGGAGTCTGACTCTATTAGGCCCCGCAAGGGGCGCCGCGGGAAAGGATCCAGCAAATATCACTCCTCCGCGGCGGTTTTCCCGGACATCTTGGGAGGACCAGTTCCCTTCAGCGCTCAGATCTGCCTCCGCCCCCCGAAACCCTGAGGCAGAGGATGCGAAATCCGCGGAGCGGCGGAAAGATGCCCGCAGAAAGGGACTCGCCCGCCTGCAGACCACCGGGCAGGCGGTTTCCCGGGCCTCTGCATCCCGGCCGCGGCATTCGGAGCGGTCCCCGGCCTCAATCATCCCCATTAACCAAAGCGCTTGGCGGAGTTGAGCCCAAGTCCCACTTCTTCCCAGTTTCTCACGCGCGCCGCAAAACCCCTGTAACTGAAAGAGAAAAAGCTGCCCCAGCTAGGCTCCTAGGCAAAGGCTATGGGATCGCGCAGGGCCGGACACCGGACCCCTGCCCTTTGCTCCCCCGTCGATGTAAGCCTGGACGCGTGCGGGATAGGGGCAGAGATCTCCACTGCGAACCCTCCCGAGGTGTTGGGCAAGGGTCGCGTCCGTGGGGTCGCTTCCGCTCCTTACCTCTGCACGCTCGAGCCTCGGCAAAGGCAGCGACACAAACTTCCAGCCAGTGCACTAGGTCATCTGTGGGAACCCCCGCACTAATGATAGTCCTCCTAATCCTATACCCGCCACCACCCGCGATTCCCCGCTCAGGTCTGCAGATCGACCCTGCTCCGGACCGATTTGACCCACCCGCCCATCACTGCCGCCCCCGGGTCCCGGCCAGCAGCGCGGCACAGCGGAGGCTGCGGCCGCGGCCACGGCCACGAAGGGATAGGGCAGGGGGTCGCTCACCAGGTGCAATGCGCGCTCCTCGTGCCAGTCATCCAGAGCCTGGAGCCCCGGAGAGATCTGAGGGTCCTAGTCAGTTCCCGGGGAGGGAAGTCGAGGCAGCAGCCTCCGCCGCCCCCGCCACTTCCCCAGAGCCGCACCCCACTTGCGACGCTCCGGGCTGGGGGCGCCACTTGAGCAGCAGGTTCACCGTCCTCTGGCGCGCGGCCGGCGCGCGGGGGAGAAGCAGGTTCGTTCCCAGTGGGGGCGATGGGCAACGAGGCAAAGTTGAGTACCCGAACTAGCTCCGCAGGGACGCCCCCGGGATGGGCCACAAGGACCTGGCTGTCCGCGTTGAGGGGAGGTGAAAACTGGGGGCCTCCACCTGGCTGGGGCCGCAGCCGCTCGGGGGTCGCGGAGCCCACCCGCTGCGGGAGGGCAGCGCAAGGGAGCGGGCGCAGCTAGACCAGCCGCCGCCGGCGCCGCCTTCCCCGCGAGTAGAGAGCTGAGCGGGGTGCGAGCGAGAAGCGCGGGGCTAGCTCGCCCCGCCCCCGCCCCGCCCCCGCCGCCGCGCCTCCTCCTCCCCCTCCCAGCTGGAGTGAAACCCGAGCGCTCCACCCCGCTCCTGACCTCCCAGGCCCCACCCCCTTCACCGCCCCTTCCCCGGACTGGACCCCCTCTGAGCCCAGGGCACCTCGGCAACCCAGGAACCCCACTACGGCCTCCCTGATGAGAGTGCACCCGAGCCTGGACTTTTGGGGGCTCCCTCCCCTCGGCCCCTCGCACGGACCTTCGGTGGCTCCCCGCCCAGGTCCCGCTGCTCGGACGTGGCTACTTTGGGGGTGGACGGGGGGGTGGGGAACGCAGTATAAAGGGCCGGAGGCAGTGAGGGCCGAGACTTAGACGTGGCGCGTCCACACTGCCGGCCTCTGTTCCAGGTACGTGCGTGTCCCCCGGAGGATTGCGGCCGCGTGGTGGGGGTGGGCAGGGGTCGCCGGGCCCTCCTGGACTCCTGAATTAGTGACTTTTTCCTTTTTGTGTGACGTCCTCTTGTGGGCTCTGAGCTGGAAACTCCTTAAAGACCTAGAAAGTCACTGCGGGTTCTTGGAGGAGCCATTTAGGGGTGAGCTGCCAGCCTAGTTCGGGTCGATTTCAGGGGAGTTCAGAGACAGGAGCAAATCGGACGAACCGGGGAAGCAAGTAATACCCTGAGCGTTAAAAGAGAAGCTCCCGGATGGACAAGGTCAGCTCGTCTAATTCTGGGGCAAAATATTACTTGTTGCACTTTTGGAGAATCTCAGTTCTATGCAGCAAGTACTCAGGTGAAAATATTCATAATTGGAAATTACTTTTCAAGACTCCTAGAATTTGATGTTTTGTTGCAAAGCCTCTGTTCGAAACTCCGAAGAGCAGCACGTGACACTTTCCCTCTGGATGGGGTGGGGACAGTATCTCTGGGCCCTTTTTTCTCCCTCTGAGCTTCAGAGGGTGCCTTTAAAGTTCCCTTTGTAAAAGGAAACGCACGAATGCCCCATAGCTTTTCTCTCAGCTAGTGACATAGTGTGTCCCTGTGGTACAAATTCACATATCGCTCCAGAGCCAGGGGCAGGTTGCTGAGATTCTCCATACTGGGAATGGGCCAGTGTGCCTGTAAATGTGCCATTGGCACATCTGTGCAAGGAACCCACCACTGGCTGGAAGGTGTCACAGCCGGTCATATCCAAGAGAAGAGCAGTAGAAATACAAATGGACATTGATTTGTGTTTACTTTGGAGAAAACTTTTTTTTAATAAAGTAAAAGAAAGCAATTCTGAAGGTTTCCATGGAAGCCCAGCCCAAAATCTCGAAGTCTCTCACACCGGTGGTGTTTCCTGGGAACTCAAGGCCTCACTTGGATTTCCTTTAAGACATCCAGGAGGAAATGTCAGTATCTGGGCACCTCTTCGGGAAGCATTCCAACCTGGGTTGTGGTGGGGGCACCAGGCTGGTGCCAGGCAGCTGCCTGGTTCCTGGGACCTTACTGAACAGTTTAACAGCTCTGTGCTTGGCATGAGGGACACTAGCTCCATTCCTGAATTCCGACTCCCTTGCCTACGTGGCTTGGAGGCCACGGAACTCCCTGGGAGGAGGAGGCAGCCAGGCAGGGTCTGGCCTGGCTGCTCTGCTCCTGGCGGGAGGAGGGGAGGGGAGAGAGGACAGTACCTCACCTCTTGACCTTGCAGCCCTTGGGTGCATGGATGCCTTTGGAGCCTCCAGCCACCGGGGCAAAGGGAGACAAATTAGGATACAAATGTGTAGTTAATCCTGTCCTTGCCTTCAACAGTACAGTTAAGGGCCTATACCCTTGGGAAAAAAAAAAAAAATCTTGGCATATGTGCAGAGAGCTATGCCGTGAAAAGAACTTAGCTTTCTACACCATAACCCAGGAGGGCTGATAAGATAACGTTTAACTCAATCAATTGTGTAACTTTATGTGTATGTGGGGGAGGGAGGTCAATTTCATAGGCAGTTTACAGGCTATACCCAAGCATTGTTAAAATAGGTATGTTTAGTGATAATGAATTACAAACAAATTAATACTGAGGACAGAGGAGAAACCAAATTAAAACTTAAAGTGAATCCTTAAAGTGAAATGGCCCTAGAGTGAGGTTTTGATTTCACCTCGTGACTTAGGGAAAGTTCCTTAACTTTCCTGAGCTACCATTTCTTCACCTGGAGCGTAAATGAACCTGTTGGCAGGTGTGTCCTTTGTAAGTACTGGAAGAGGAAGGAGGTGATGCAAGTAGGGTAAACACCCAGGGCCCAACACAGAAGTCTCTACAATAAAATTATTTTAAAGAATCCACAGGTGTTCCCTTGTTCCAAATGAAATGTCTGAGTTTGTTGTGGGGTTGTTTTGGGTTTTTTTTTTTTAAGTTTTCCTCACTAAAGGACTTCCTACATTAAGCTTCTACTCACATTGTAGAACTAGAGGTGATCATTTTAAAACTAAACTGTTTAGTTCTCTTTTAAAAATAAAAATAGGGCTTTCCCTAAACTGTTTTATGTCGGCCATGCACACAGTGTAAAAGAATGAGCAAACCAACCACTCGGTGAAAATGATGAATTTTGGGGCGCTGATTCATGTGACCTGAAAAACGCCATCCATTTCCTGATTCACCTCAATTTCTGTGGTGATGTGACGGATGTCCTATGTCTCTGAAATAATTAACCAGGTTTGTCTTGATTTCTCTCCCTTGTGCTTGAATTTCAGCTACATCAATAAACTGCCACCTCAGAGGGGAGCAGCAGGCTGAAGACAACGTCACCGGGTAGAGATACAGATGTTGCTGTGGTCAAGAGTGACCTTCAAGGGACCCCTCTGTCTATGACCTTTACAACACATATGATTGTATTAGTATCATGAGAAACCTCAGTCCGGAAATCGTAGCCTATGAACATTTACATCTTAACTAGATTTTCCTGCAGATGAGCCTAGGGACACATTATAATTGTTACCCACAAGTGTTCCCATTTTACTCCTGTTTTCCTTCATTTAGATCCGTGGCATTTAAGAATTGAAAAAACTGCTAGATCCTCTGATCAGCTCCATTAATTTTTTCCTTAAAATGGCAAACATTGATAAAACAATACACAGTTTTATGCCTCACTAAGATTGCCTAGTGCTCGTTTTTGTTCATATCCTATTTTAAGGACTTGAAAGACCCATGATATGGCTACAGATAATGTTGTGATGTTCCCCAAAGTCTTGACAGAAGAATCACCAAGTGGGGGAGTTCAGGGAGCCAACTACTCAAGTCCCTTGAGCTTCACCAGGGTAAAAATTCTTGTACCCTTCGAAATGCTCACTCCCCCCTTTATGTAGTAGCCTTCTCCCAGGGCAGAGGTAGGCAGGCCAGGTTTACTCAAAAACAAGAGCCAGAAACTAAAACAATAGAATAGAAAGTCATTGTGGCACATCTGAGAATGAGCGTCAATGGGCATGGGATGAAGTGGGGTCCTGGACCTTAAACCGAAGGACCAGGGAGACCTTGAGGACACCTGTTCAATAGCCCCCTGCCAGGCTGTACACTGGACACTCCATCACTCTCCCTTCTCTGAAGTCCGAGTTCTACCCACGCCCGCCCAGGGCCTGCTTCCAGCCTCCCATTACTGTCAGGAGCATGTTTTGTCCCTGCCAGATGTTCATGGAGATTAACACAGAGCCACCTGGCCCTCGCCCAACCCAGGCGAGCTTTCTTGCCTTTGAGCTCACCGGAACTCACCCGGCAGGTGAAAACCACCTCTAGAAGTATTTTGTCTTTATGGTTAAATTTCTAGACATATTTTTCTAGCAACCCAACTTCCTTAAAATAAAATTGTGCTCAAACCACCTCAAGTTGTGTTCTTATAAGTGTGGTATAAGGAGAAGAGAAATGCTGGGTTTAAAAAATTTTTGGAATACCTAGAGGAAATGTCGACGCCTTGTGGCATGGAGACAAAGCATCCATATGGCTTCCTGAGTGTTATTCTCTGGCATGGAGCCTTGTATATGTCTTGTGTGTATATAAGCAAAGAATGGCTGTACTTTTAAAACAGATATGCTTGATACTCATTAACCAATATCCTCTGTGTTCCTCTATCACTAAAAATAGAGATCTGGGGGAAATAAGTATTTTTGGAAATAAATTTTCAAAAGTAGCATTCATCCTGCATAGGTTTAGAAATACAGATTATTCTGCTTCGTTTACTCCATCATTTACCAGGGAGATTAACTCATGATGACCTTGAGGTAAATGAAAAGAATACCTACTAAGTGAAATTAATGAGCAGGCCAAGTGTCTGTGAAGTAAGGGGGAAGGTGAATTGTCAAGAGTCCTGTCACCCTTCCGTCAATTCATTGCAGACCCTCCCTTCCATTCCCATCATTGTTACCCTAACTCAGAATATCAGCTTCTCTCACCCAGAATACCAACACCTCTTCTGACTGGTCTAGGTCTCCCTGGGCCTCCAGTCTATACCATAGTGCTCCTCCCCTCAATCATTCTTAATAACATGGAACTGGTTTTCTTTGAATTGTAGTCTGCCTGGCTTTAAAAAAAAAAGAAAGAAAGAAAATCAACTTCCATGGAACTTAGCTGTGACCAATAAGATGTAAGTCAGTGGGATTCCAAGAAAGGCTTCATAAAAGGGGGCAACAACTAATGGTGTGATCTTTTTTGCCCTTTGCTCCTGAAACTGAGGGTCTTTGTGACTTTGATTAAATTTGGGCTTAAATCCCAGCTATAGAAATCAGATCTCTCCATACATATATACCCCTCCGAGCCTTAGCCTTCCCCCAGATAATCAGCAACCCCTGAGGCAGCAGAAGACTATCAACTGAACCCAATGGCCACAAGGTCCAGACCTCTGGCAGGTCAGAGACCTAAGTTATATCTCAGTTCCTGAGCCTAAAGGTGCAATGACCCCTGGACAGAGGAACTTCAGAGAAGACCTCAAAGCTGCCCTCAAGACCTGAAGAA